GTCACCTTCCTTCAGACACATTCCATTGTGCAATGTCTTTCCTAAAACGTGACAGATTGCTGCTGGCGCTCACCTTGACAACAGAAACGAAGGCCTTCGGAGAAAGTGATACCAATCCTTTCTTCAACATTTGTGTTTGCATTAGTATATACTCAAAGAACAATGTTGAAAAACACAGAAAACATAAGGAAGAAAAATTTAAATTCCTTTAATAATACTACCCATAAATAATTAGCTTAAATTTTGGTTTTGTTTCCCATAGTCTTTTCTATATATGTATTTGTTATTGTCTTAAAAATCAATACAGGTGGACCTTTTGCTTTTATGTTCAACTGTTTTTTATGTTGCTAAAATTTCTAACTGGACTAATTAGGCTGTGGCTCCGTAGCAGGGCACTTGCCTAGCACATGAAGTCCTGGGTTCTATCGTCAGCACCACATGAAAATAAACAAATAAAAATAAAGGCATGCTGTCCATCTACAACTATAAATTTTTTTTTAAAAAAAGTTCTAATCACCATTATTTTGTTTGACCACTTTCTGATGTAACGAATTGTTTCTAGTTTTTCACTTTTTAAATAACATGCATTTGCACGCACACAACAGCACCTCAGCACACACGTCTTTTTTCTTGTCTCATCTCCTCGGCGGGCGTAGATGCCTTGGGTGGAATTACTGGGTACAGATGTCTTCTGGGTGCTTGGTCCTCTAGGAGGGGTTCACTTATCTCTCCCTTCACTCTCCAACAAGGATAGGTGAACATGTCCATTTCAGTATACCCTGCCCCATTCCAGAAGGATAAGACAAATGGTGACAGGCCCTAAGTATGAGGAGGGCAGGTGTAGGTGAGACCTGGCTTAAGCAGCTTGCATTTTTGAGTGCCGACTCATGTGTCAAGCATTTGCTAAGCCTGTTGTATATATTTAAATGAAGTACTTCTCATACCAGCCGTAAATATCGCATGCTGCTACAGATAAAGAAATAGACACTCAGCAAAGTGGCCTGCCAAAGGCCACAGATAGCTTCAGTGTAAAGATAATTTAGGCATCAGTAACAGGATAGTTGACTAAAATGGGTTTTAATTCTAGGTTTTTGTTTAGTAATCCTTTTTCCTTCATGTGTAATGTAGCTACAGAAAAGTGCACACACCTTTAATGGTATTATTTGATGAATTGTCATAGTTCCCACCTCAGTAGCACCATCCAGTCAAGGAATGGACATTATCCATGTAAAGCATCCTCCAGGTCCCTGCCTGTCAACATCCTTCACCTGCACAAGATGAGCCTTCCTCATTCCTAACATTATAGATCCTGTTTGCCTGTTTTTGAACCTTATGTAAATGAAATTTTTGTGGACATATTCCTTATTTATTTTTTCTCTTTTCCCTCAACATTTGATTCTGAGAGTAATTTATTTTGTGTAGCAGTGATTTGTGCACTTTTATTTCTGGGGAGCATTCATCTTGTATGACCACACCACAATTCATCATTTTACTGTTGTTGATGGACTTTTATGTTGTTTCTGGTTTGTGACTCCAATGAATGGTGCAGTTTGGAACACTTTTGTACAGCAAAAGATAACATGTGCTTTAGGCCTGGGATGTGGTTATGTAATTCTCTGTTTTTCTGTGTCTAAAATATTTATTTGAAACTATTTGTGTGTGTGTGTGTGTGTGTGTGTGTGTGTGTGTGTCACATTGTAAGGGTCTGGCGAAATGTCGGAGGGAGAGACCACCCAAGAGACTGACTCCATGCAATTGGCAAAAGGGGATATTTATTGGGGATCCATTCCAGCGCGCTGGGACTCTGTGCTCACTCAAGGAGGGAGAGCAGCCCAGAGCCCAGAGCAAAGGTCAAGCAGAGCTTAAGTACACTTTTTGGAGAGGGCAGTGGGCTTTGCATACATCAGAACAAATCATCATGAGGCGCGGGGAAATTGAACAACAACTCTGAGACGTGATTGGCACATTCATTGGCGGGAACAGGTCGGGCGGGGGTGATTGGTCATTCCTAAGCGGGGTACACATTCAAACTGATTGGTTCGGGGCCCTGTGACAAACTGCACAGGGCCCTAGGCTAAATGGCTAGTAGGGTGTTGTCTATCTCAGGAATCTGGGGGTAACAGTGGAACTCAATAATACCTAATCTTTTACATTTTAATTCAAGCCTTCCAGCTTAGAAACTTTACCCTTTCAACATGTACTGTGTGCTTCCAGAAAGGAACTCAGTTGGGATCTCTGCTGAAGGGAAGGGCTGTAGATCTCCACATCAGAAGAAGTCCCTCTTGGAGGGATGCTTGCTTCAGTGAATGGAACATTGACTCTGTTGCTGGCAGCTACCAACAGGAGCAGCTTCAGGAGGAAGAATGTTTCTCTAATTTAATTATGAATCTCAGGGAAGCATGTCATGATCCTCTTCAACCTGCTGTGCCGAGTGGCAGGATGCCACTGGATGTCTACCAGGTAGAGGAAGGGGCAAGGGAGCGTGCACATCTTTACACTCTGTGACAGAAGCATATCTCCACACACAGAGTCAACTACAGAGATTCGGGTCCCAAATTTGGTCAGACCCCTAAATCATTTATCTCTACCTTTTGAAGATTTCAAGAGCATATTATGAAGTTGGACAGACTGAGGGTATCACAATCCTGCTGTGCCTAGGGCAGTTCCACTTACACCTGTTCTTATGGTGCCATTGTTAATAGCACCTCCTTGGGTCCTAGTAACGTCCTGGGCTTTTATGATGAGTTATAAGGTCCCCTACTTAGACATGGTGATTGAGGTTCTGCCACTTAGGTGCATTGTGACCTCAGACAAGTTACTCTGCTTCTCCGAGTTTTGTGTTCCATACCTGCCACATAGGGTTGTAGTAAATCTTAAATAAGGACGCTATGTCCTTAGTTCTGTCTTGGTTCAGAAAAAGGATGCAGACTTCAGACCTTAAGGCCTTTTACATTTTGTCTTGGCTACTGTTACCATTGTAATTAGAATTGTCTTCAAGCATGATGATGAATTGTGAATGAGACATCAGAAGCTGGGAAGCTGTACATTTTCTCCATCTTACCCCTAAAAAGAATTTGCTTTACTTCCCAGGATAGGAGGAGTAATTGGCTTTCCTTCAGGGTTGTACTGCAAATGTGGAAGCTGATGACATTTGAATGTGAACTTGCCATTGGTTAAACAGGGTTGGGTTTAAATGCCTTGGTCTGCACTTCAGGGGGTGATAAGGAAATCTTGAGACGGTATTCACTATTATCAGTGGAGTGACCATCCAGTCTGGTTTAGGCCTGTTGCCTTCTGTCAGCCTTTAATAGCATTTCCTTTGCCTCTGAAAGGTCTCCCATTTCAGGTCTGCATAGGACCATCCTGAGATGAGGAGTCAGACCAGAAACAGGGCAAAGACCCATAAGCAGGATATTCCAGATACTGTTATATCTGAAATGTGAAATGAATGAAGTATAATTATCTGTGTTAAATATGGATAAAGCTCCAAATAAATGTTGAATGGGAAAGCAAATTGCAGAGGGGTACCTACTGTATAATTCCATTTATGAAAATTTAAATGATTTAAGCAAAGTTAAATAATTTATTGCCTGAGGACACATAGATATTTGATGAAAATATAAAGAAAAGCCAAGGGGTGATTAATTCAAAATTCAGATTGGTGGTTATCTGCATGGGGGTGGGGGAGGTCATAGAAAGATGCCTGGCTTCAAAGATGTATGTTATACTATTTCTCAACTATGAAATTGGTATATGAATGTTTCATTATTGTTCTTTTATTTAAAATGTGCCTACATGTTAGGATTCCTTTGGATTCATTGGGCTGTTTTACCAGAAGAAATAAAATAATGTACAAAGAGTAAAATAAAAATAAAACATGATATTGCGTCATGTCAAATCTTACACTTTTACGCTTGTTTGCTCTTTGAGGTGATGGTTCATTGTTGAATGAGTTGAGGGAGAAGGTAGCTAGTTTAAGCTTTGAGGTGATAGACAATTTGCAAGTTAATAGCTTTAAGTCTTTATAATCCTAGTTGTTACAGGCCTTCCTTCTGATGTTATTTCTACTCCTGGTGATGCTGCCTCCACTCTTACCAACCCACCAGTGTTCATGGAGCAAACATTTTCTAATTCCATAATATATATTATGGCTTTTATGTCTCAAAAAATTCCCTGAGATAGATTCCAGTGTTACCTCCATTTTACCATTAAGGACAGTGAAGCCCTGGGTAGTTAAGAAATCCAGCCGAAAGTATCTGCCTTGGGATTCTGGGCTCCCCGTTCCACCACCACCTCCAGGAGGTAGAGTGCTTAAGTGCTGAGTCCAGCCTAACCCAGTCATGGTGGAGGCAAAGGCTGAGGTTTTCAGCATTTTCCGGAAGGCTTTCTACCCCATCATATTTTTGAGGACAACATTTTTTGTCAGGCTCTGCTTGCTCTCAGTAGCCAGCAAGTTCCTGCTGCTCCCTGGTGACCTGTGAGAGCTTTCCAGCCCCTGGGGTGGGCTGTTCCTGCACAGCAGGTTTCTGTCGCACCTTGGGGTGCTCTTGACCTGACTGATTTGCACTTAGTTCTTAGAAGTGGTTGAGGGGGGCAGACCTGAACAGTCCTGAGTGACATTGGAACACTTTTTCATTTGAATTCACAGATTTAATATAGTTATCTTAAGAAAATAATGAATATATAACAAAAGAAAAAAAGGAGAGTAGTGCTGCAGAGGGGTGACTGAGCCCAGCGAGATGCTACCGCAGGCAGAGAGGCCTCTGGGGGGAACACAGCTTTGATGTGTTATGTCACCTCACTGCAGTCCAGTTTCCCGAGCTGTAGGTTAGAGATGGTGCTGCCATGGCAGACTGTCACTTGGCCCAAAGATGACACTCTTTCCTTCCTAATTAAGCCAGGAAGATGTTACTTAAGCTCTGCAAGATGGGCCTTGCCCGTGTCCCTAGGAACTGACAAGTGAGTGCTTTCTGGTCCTGGGGAGGGAAAAGGAAGTCTGTTGGGGGAGAGGTTTTCTTCTGTGTTAGGAGGAAGCAGAGAAGCAGCAGCTCTGCCTGTGCATCTCTCTGCTCCTTTCTTTGAATGCAGCTCTGTTGAAATGCAATGCTCAGGGCTGCTGCAGCCAGTTCATGACTGTGACCGAGGAGAAAAGAAAATCAGAGATGCCAGCCCTGTGTCCTACCATCACCGAGCCTCCTTAGCCTCCCTGGAACTGTCTTTATCTGGATTCGTTGTTATGTAAGGAAAATAGACCCCTATTTATGCATTCTCCTATTAGCCACATTTTCTGTTACTTGCAACCAAAAAAAGAAAATGTTTGCATAGTGTTTATTCCTTATTGAGTTTTCGTGAGAACTAGAGAGAAAATATTTCTTAATGTGTTTGGAACACAGTAGATATGTTGTAGTAGTTGTTTTCTTTACCATTATATCATCCCCAAGTTTCCTCATGACTGTAGGTATGGGTTGGTGGGAGAGAAGAAATATTGAAGGTTTTGGGTTTTTTTCTCTTCCTCTGTACATCCTGCCTCTTACGAGATCATATGAGGTATTGGCGGGGGGATGGTGTGCCTGAAATAGGGGAGTAGAAAGGAAAAGGGGAGAGTAGGTAATGAAAGGATTAGAGGAAATCAGGTAAGCAGAATTGACTCATGGTTTGAATTTATTTCTCTCACATCTTATTTACCTGAAATGAATTTGTTTATCCTGGTCCCTGATATCTGTTTTTTCATAGCCTTAGCATTCATAGCTTGAAAACACTGTTAATGCTTACTCCCTTAAAATCTTTAATGGCTATTCCTTTAAACTGGAGCTCAGGGAATACTGCTTTTTGACAAACATTTCTGGTAGACTTATTATAATGAAGCAAAGTCTCTATTTTCAGATCCCAATTACCTTTCAATCCAGTTGCTGTCATTAAGCTACGCGTGCATTTAGAGTGCTGGAAGTTGGAGAAATGAGTGCATTACCATCAAAGCATGAAAGGCCAGTGCTTTGCATAATCATTGCTGGAATGGTTCCTCGGGTTTGGCATCTGCCACTCTCACCCTGCAGAGCCCTTGTTTGGGATACTGCCTGTGCAGAGTTCTGGTTCTGGTTTTAATCATTTTCAAACCCTGATGTGAATCCTTTAGTCTCCTACAGTTGTTTTTTACTTATGGCACAGTTTTGTTTTAAGAGTCCCTATGGTGTTTCTACATTTACCAGAATAATAAGAGGAAGGACACTGTACTCTGGTTGATATCTCTGACCTGTGGGTGGACATTTTGAGCATGACCTCGGGTGGGGAGGGGGAGGGTGTTCTGGCTGGTCTTAAGTTACAGTGCAGTGGAGAAACTGAGCACCTGATCCTCTCCAGAGGGTGAAGTGAAAAAGTCTTTGATCTCCACAGAGCTTTCTGTGTCCAGGCAAGAGGAAGAATTGGCACGAGAAGACGGGACCAAATGGGTGAAGAGGGAGAGTGGAAATCCATTGTTGGGTCTGCAGGCCAGGAAGGAGGAGCAAACCCAGAGATGCTCCTAAAAATATTTGTCAACAGGTATTGGCAGCACTAGCCCTCAGAACTGCTGTGGGCCAGTGTGCTGGGCAGGCCCTGAAGTCTCATCTGGGCCATTCATGGGCCCAGGGAGGGAGAGTAGTGGAGTAGTCTGGGGAAGAGACCAGGTGATAGGGGGTACTGAAGGGACTAGTGGTCTTAAGAACTGGCATAACCAGAATGCAGCCTGCTACAGAAAAGCAATTCTGAACCAATCTCTCTGTGTTCCCCCAAATTACATTGTGTGGGGAAAAGGCAGGCGGGGTTTATGCCTGCCTTCTGCCTGGCACATAATAGGGGCTTGATTAATATTTACCAGAGGAAATTAATAAATGAGTGTGCCACCAAATGATGCGTCAGAAATCCTCTCTGGGGGCTAAAACAAGAATTAGTTTTCATGAGAACCTTATTGTATTTCTGTAGGTTTGGGATTATGCATATCTTACATGGTTTTCAAAACATAAAACAATGGGCAGGAAAGGAAAAGCAATATGTGTCCTTTTAGAGAGGAGAGGATAGTTTTTCCTTTAAATAAAACCAGAAGGAACTATTGAATCTCTTGGTATTTTTCCCTTTGTCCTGCATCTTGTAAAATAATGTATGCAGGAGAAATCAATTGTCTTTACAAAGGAAGCCAGCTCACTGTTTTAAAGGGGCCTGCATGAGATGGCTTGAATTTTCTGTGATAGAGAATTATGAGAAAATGTACTTTTTGTCTGATCAGAAAACATGAATAGGAAATGACAGCAATCACTTCCCAGCCACAGGCTCTGTATCAGGATGAAACGTGGTGTTTGAGTTGTAAGGCAGAATGTCTCCTGGGGATATTGTGAAGATGTGTCAGCTGGCATGGCCAAGTTGAGCAGTGAGTTCTATAATGAATATAAATTTTTCTGTGGCCTTTGAATACCAAATTAGTCCCAGAAAAGAAGTGTGTGCCAAAAGAGCCTTGAGTAGCGTGGATAGTTCAGATGAACGTGCTTAGGAGGGGTTAAGCTCTGTGCTATTTCAGTAGACCAGAAAAGGTAATGGAGTTTATGTGACTAACCCTGCACCTTTATAAAAAGAATTTGAAGTGGCTTTGAACAGATGTTCCATAATGATGCTAGGATCTAGAAATTGAAAATCAGGACCAAGAAAAGAAGAGAGTCCTGGTAGCCATGGCAAAAAGGGAAACATAATTAGGTATATAACTCATAAGTTAGGGAAGGTAAGAACATGTCAGTTTCTCAAAAGAAGGCAGAATTTTTAAAAATACTGCAAGTCTTTGTTATTCTGGAGTTGATGAAGTAGTTTTGATCTTTTAGTTTTCTTACTTGCCCTCTGCCATTTCTTTAACTGTTACAGTTATTCCTTTGCTTCATAGTCTGCTAGTTTTTAGTGCCATCAGGAGATATAGACAAGGAAAAGGAGGTCAATTCAGAATAGTCAGCTTTGTAACTGATTACAGTTCTGGTAGTCATCTGTGGTATGTCATATGTGGTAACTAAGTTCGTGCTATTGAGTAAAAAAATATTTATTGGGCTGGGGTTGTAGCTCAGTGGTAGAGCGCTTGCCTTGCATGCATGAGGCACTGGGTTTGATCCTCAGCACCACATTAAAAAATAATAAATAAAACAAAGATATTGTGTCCAAAAAATTTTATTCTCTAAGACCACAGAATGGAGAATTGCTCATTTTTAAAAGTCCCTTGGACTTTGTGAAAAGCCCATCTAGCTGTGCACTGGGCTGGGGAGTGGAGCCCCTAGCTGGTAGGTCAACATGAAAAAGTGAAAGTTCTCGGGCTGGGTTGTAGATCAGTGGTAGAGGCTTGCCTAGCATGTGTGAGGCACCGCGTACAAATAAAATAAAGATATTGTGTCCGTCTATAACATAAAAAGTGAAGGTTTTGTGCTTGGGTTGGGAGTAAATAGCTGTTACCCCTGGAGGATAATCATTAAGTTGGAAGAAGACTGAGGGTATTTTATTCCTGGAGTTCCCAAGCCTGGGAGTAGTTTCAGAATCACCCAGGGGAACTTTTGGAAAGTCCACACTGCCAGGCCCCACCCTGCAATGACTGGATTCTCGATAGTAGTCCCCAGGCATGTGAGTTTTATTGGTTGCTGTTTTGATTTTAAGCATTTTTTTGGTGGGGGGTGGTGTGAGTAATCAGCCTGACTTTGAAATTGTTGTCTGTCTGCAAAGGGGAAAAAAATCCCTACTCTGCACCATCCTAGTACTGTCAGCCCCTTGTATGGTTCCGAACCCTGGGCTGGAGATAAGTTTCCTGAGTAAGGATGGGAAGCAGGTGGTTCCTAGATGGGTTCTAACCTGTCCAGTCCAGGTCTGGCAAAAAGCCAAACATCACTGTGGAAGAAACCGAGATGCAGCCCTGTGAGATTTTCAGGAAAAGTGAGAGAGAAGTTAGATATAACCCCATGTATGTAGTGTCAGAGAAACGCCATCCACACTGTACATGTTTGCCTTTGGCCTGTCCTGGGTATTACATGCCACTTGTAATAGTAATACGACCACAGACATTTGAGATTTCTTTGTGCTAAACTCTGCATCTGACCTGAGCACAGTCATGTGAAGTAGCCATTGTGATTTTCCTTGCTAGTGAATGAACAGGCCCTATTTGATTTAAGTGACATGACTTTGAAAATCATGTCACTTAAGAGGTGTCACTTAGAGACAGCCTAGCTGGGTCTGAAGCCTAGGTCAGAACAATCCTTGAATTCAATTTGAATAAAATAAAGTTTTATTCCTGAGCATTTTTTTTTTCATTCAGTATTGCATTTTTCCTTCAAAGCCTCAACTCACTTGTCTGTCTGATCAAGTTTGCACAGTACTGGCTTAATGGAAGAGCCTCCATTTATCCATTCATGGATTTCAGACATTCACATGAAGCTTGCTCTGCTAGTCTCCTGCAAGGCAAAGATAAACAAGGACTCAACTCTCAGGAGGCTCATGGTACAAAGCAGCTGGGCATGGAATGGGCGGATTGTCAGACCTGGGACGTGGCCCACCACTGGAACGGTTGAATCAAGGTTCTGAGATTAAAGGAGGAGATATGTGGGTCAGGAAAAGCCATTGGTGCCTACTACATGTCCCTGCATTCAGGGAACTTCAAGACCGGTGGGAGAAGCTCACACAAAACCTGTCCTGTTACAACTGTATCGGTTGGCCTCGAAAAAGGTGTGTGGTGCTGTTGGCGCTTTAAACACGGAGACCGAAGCTATTCTAGGCTTTAGAAGGTTGCCCCAAGAAAGCCTTGCTTGGGTGCTTAGCATTGATGCCTTGTGTTCAGTTCCCATCACACACAAAAGAAAAAAGAAAGCAAATTATGTTTGAGTTGAAATCTAACAAATGAGTATGAGTTAAATTTATGTTGACTTTTATAAACATTTATCACTCCAGAGTAAGATGTTTGAACACAGTTTTCTTTGTTTATGTCTGTGTAATGTGTTGCTGTGTTTTATAGAGTTAAATGCCTATTTTCTCTCATTGATCTTTAATGAATGCATTTGTGCATAGAGATTTTTTTATTTAAGGTTTACTAGATGAAAGGATATAGCCACCTTTACTATTGTAGCCCTTACTAAAAGTGTGAGGTGACTTTCACATCCTCCTCTTGGAGCCTCTTCAATTTATCGACAGCTCTTTCCATCTCCTTTGTGGCACATCTCTGTCTACAGTTTTCCTGATATTCTTTCAGTCTTTGCAACTAAAGCTCTGAAATTTCTCATAATTAGAACTTAGTGATGTCAGTGATGCCCTCCTTTTAAAATACCCATTTATGACATTTTTAGTTTCTAGCATAATGACCGGTGTTGCTGGGGCTGCTAGTTTCCCCCAATATCCATTCTCTTCAGAAGCCACACATTTAGGTGGGGACATGGCCATTAGGAACAAAGACTACACTGGCCAGTTTCCTTTGCAGCCAGAGGAGGCCAGGTGACTCATTATGGCCCAAAGAATGTGACTAGAACAGTCATTTGGTGGTTCCTGGCATCCTTTAAAAATAAACTCATGTATGTTCTCTGCTCTTTCTTGTTTATACCTTCATTCACCCTGTTCTCTAGATCACAGTAGTGATGCTAAAGCTCTAGCCACCATATTGGATCACAGGAGCAAGGGCCAGACTCTAAGATGTGGAATGGCAAGTTGGAAATCTTTGGGTTCTGTGAAGACTTCATGGACCAGAGCTTGCAAACTTGACAGTGTGTTGCCTGCCTGTGGACTTTCTCATATGAGAGAAATGTGTTTTTATTTTGTTTAAATTATTATTTTGTATCTATTACAGCCCAAATAATCCTGATTTAAATGTGTTCATGCAAAAAAAGACTATATTAATTGTGTGTGTGTGTGTGTATGTGTGTGTGTATAAACACATTTATTGGACATGAAAATTTCATGGTTAAGTTGAAAGTTGAGATCAAATCAAAGCAAATTGTAAGGTTCAAATACTTCTTTTAATTCCTTTCTTACTATATATCTTTTCTACTTAAAAAAGAAATTATTTTTGTGATAATAGCTTTTTATCAAGCTCTTGTGTGCTTATCTCATTCAATCCTTTATGAGTAGTTAAAATTGTTATCCCATTTTATAGATTAGAAAATTGAGGCCAGAAAAGATTAACTTGCCAGGGTCACCTATCTAAAGAGTGGTAGAGGTGGACTCTATCCTGGTTCTTCCTGACTCTGGAGCCTAATATCTTTGTGTAGGTGAGCTATTCCCCTTATATGTGCTGTTCTTTCTCCCAGGAACACCTGCTGTCTGGACCACCTTTGCCCGGTGACTTCTCTGCACCACTCCATCCACAGCCTTCCTTCACTCTTCCGCACTGTGCCATAATCCTGCTGCCTTAACAGCACCGTGTGCGTCTTCTGTTACAGCGTTTATCACACCTTATTGAATGTGTTGCTTACTTGCCCCCACAACCCCATGGTAAGCACAGCCCAAAAGGGGGAGTGTGTTTGAGTATTATTATTATATCGTCCAAACCTAGCACAGTGCCTGGTTCATATAGTAAGTGCTTAATAAATATTTGTTGAGTTATTGAATAAACTCCCATATCTATCCAAAATACATTTCTGCTACTTTTTAGAGCTCTTTTTGGTGTAGGTTATTCTCACCACTCTTATGTGGTATAACTTATTCTTATCTTGGTGTCAAGTGTGTCAGATAAGTCTGTAATTTCCAAAGACTTGATTGGGTGGATAGTTTAGTCTTTGGTCATACGGGCACGTCCACTTAACTCTCAGCAGGTTGGCTCTGCTGCTAATGACTCCACAGTATGAATAGACTTGCATGCTATTAAGCTGCGGTGATCTTTTACATGCAGTAGAGGGAAAATGAGATTGCAGTAAACAAGCATATGCACGAATTCATTCAGAAAAATGACTATCTGGGTCCCAAACTGCATAATCATTCTCCTTTTATATTTAACAGATGAAACAGAGATTATGAATTTTCATGGAATTGAAAGATGTGCTGCTGTGTCAGAGGAGGCTAAAGCAAGAAACGGGAGCTTTCTGAGATATAGTCAGATTCTGATTGCGTCGTTGTTCAGTCTTCACAGAATTCCCATTCAGAAAGTGTGCAGGTTGAATTTAATTGAACCTAATTCATGGAACGGAAAATATATTCCTCATTTGAAAATTCTCTAGGATGCAAGGTCCTTATTTTAGGTCCCTTTGAATCCTCAGCACTCTGCACGGTTCCTCACATGGTGTAGACCCTCCTCAAATACGAGAGTCAACGGAAGGGTTTTGTTTTCACGTTTTGCTGCCTCATTTAACTCCAAATCTGCTTATTATTGGTTTGTTCTAACCCCTTTTTGTGCCTTCAGCACATTACTTATTGGTAACAGAAGTTGGCAGGAAAGAACAAGGTGATACCTATTTTGGCCATGATGACTGTGTTGTCAGTGCACAGCTCTGTGGCATGGCCTACATCGACATGGCTGTGCCTTTCTATCTTCTTCCATCTTCTCAAACCGAAGCTTAACAATACCCCACCCCCTTTCCCTGTTCCCTGGCAACCACAATTCTACTCTCTGTCTGAATACGAATACTGTAGGTACCTGATAAAAATGGAATCATGCAGTATCTGTCCTTTTGTGACTGGCTTATTAGACTTAGCATGATGCCTTCAACATCTATCCTTGGGCTCCTGATGTGGCTCAAGTGGTAGCGCACTCACCTGGCATGCGTGAGGCACTGGGTCTGATCCTCAGCACCACATAAAAATACAAAAAGATTAAAAAAAAAGATCCATCCATGTCGTAGTATTTGTCAAAGGTTCCTTCCTTTTAAGGCTGTATAACATTCCACTTCCACATGTTGTGCTTTGGATCTGAAATGTCCCCAGAGTCTCATGAGTTGAAGGCTTGGTCCCCGCTGCAGCAGTGTTCAGAGGTGAGGCTTTGGAAAGGTGATGGAAGCATGTGCTCTAACCTCCTCAGTAGATTAGTCCATGGATGGATTAATAATTCGGTGGCATTACTGGAAGGTGGTGGGAACTGCAGAAGGTGTGGCCTGGCTGGAGGAAGTCAGTCACCGCTGCAGGACTTTGGGAGGGTTGCCTTTGTCTCAGCCTCCTCTTTGCTGCCTCCCTGCATCCTGACTGCCAAGAGGTGAGCGGCTGTCCTCTGCCACACGCTTCCTCCTCTGCCTCATCGCAGGCCGGGGAACAGTGGAGCCAGCCAACGATGTATTGAGACCTCTGAAATCTTGAGCCAAAATAAATCTCTTCTCTAAATTTTTCTAGTTATTTTGCCACAGAGATGAAAAGCTGATTTGTTTGCCCGTTTATCTATTGATGGCTACTTGGGTTGCTTCCCTTTTTGGCTGTTGTAACACTGTATATACACTGTTGCGTACTATATATCCATATGTACATGGATATACAGTACACCCTCGCTGTAATCACACCTCCCCTGCAGGATGTGCATCAGGAGTTACTTTAAAAATCTTCAGCATCATCAGAATTAAGAACTTGTGACTTAAAGGACAGCATCAAGAAAGCGACAATTCAACTCATACATTGGAAGTATTTGCACATCATATAAGTGACTTATATCCAGAATATATAAAGAATGTAATAACAACAAAGAGACAAATAACCCAATTTAAAAATAGGCAAAGGATCTGAGGAGACATTTCTCCAAAGAAGATATACAAATAGCCAATCAATGCATGAAAAGATGTTCAGTATCATTGGTTGTCATGAATATGCAAAACAAAACCACAATGAGATACAACTTCATACCCAGTAGGATGGCTGTAATTAAAAAGATAGTCAATAACAAGTGTTGAGGAGGAGAAATTGGGAACCTCATACAGTGCTTGTGGAAAGGTTAAATAGTAGTCACTTTGAAAACAGTTTATCATTTCCTCAAAACGCTAAATGTAAAGTTACCTATGACTCAGTTATGTTATGCTCAAGAGAAATGGAAAACGTGTTCACACAAAAACTTGTACATAATTATTCACACCAACATTATGCATAATAGCCAAAAAGTGTATAAACCAACCCAGATTTTCTTTAATTAATAAATGAATAAGCAAAATGTAGTATATTCCCATAAGGGAAGGTTATTTGTTAATAAAAAGAATTAATTACTGATACATTCTGTAACATGAGTGAACCTAAAAAGCATGCTAAGTGAAATAAGGCGGTCACAAAACACCACATATCATGAAATCCTATTTATACAAAATGTCCAGAATAGGCAATATATAGAAACAGCAAATTAGTGGTTACCTAGGATTTGGGAGGTGTGGGAAATGGGGATGATGAAAGTTCTAAAATCGGGTTATAGTGGTGGTTGTAATATGTTAGATATACTAAAAACCATTGACTTCTATATTTAAATGGGTTAACTTGATGGTATGTAAATTATTTATCAATAAAGCTGTTTGGGGAAACAGTGGCGCTATTCCAGTAAGCCACAAGGTGAGAGGCTATGTCCTGAAGCGGTCTTTTGTTTTTTTAGTCCTCCATGAAATAGAATTCTGTGCTCTGTCTGTGGAGAAAAAGAAATTAGGAAATTTGTCATTGAAAATTCAGGGAAAAAAGAAAATTAAAATATTTTGTTATTCAAGTTTTTAAGATATGAAATTATTGGCAATAACAAATTCTGGTAATAACATTTTTCCATTTTCTAAAAATGCAACATGTTTTTCTTTCACAAGTAAGGACTGAATTAATGAAATTGAGCTTTGCATCTGAGAACTTCAACCAACCTTAAGGATATTTTTTGCGTCTCTTCCTTGGCGCATGTATCTCTCTGGCTTTGTAGGAAACCTCTGTGCGCCGTGTCACTGTATCTCTAGAGCTCCTGTCTGGAGTCCTCTCTCTCCTGCACATGGCTGTCTTCTTCCTCAGTTGGTGTTTGGTCCCTGATGCTCAACTGACCTTTGAAAACCAGTCTCTCTTCCCTCTGTCCAATAAGTGAATTTAGGCTCATTATTAGGTGTGGTTAGAGCCTAATTGGGGACTGGGATGTAGCTCTGTGGTAGAACATTTTCATGGTGTGTGCGAGGCTCTGGGTTCCATTCCTAGTACTACTAACTATTGCAATAAAAAGATTAATTGAGAAAGATTTGTCTGTTATTAATTGTTTGAAACATTTTTCACCTGTTAAATCTGTTGACAAAACTAATTTATTTATGCACAACATTCCTGGCTTTGGTTACACATGGCCACTCACAATGGGACTCTGTTCCCTTTACCTTTATGGTCCCCCTTCACATAGAGTCTCGTGCCCAGGTACCTGGCTTATTCTCTTCCTCAGATTGTGGGATTCTTAGAGGACCAGGGGTAGCTTTAAACTTTTCACAGTGCCTTGTGCTGGATAGGTGGTTAGTAGTCATTTGTTGAATGAGTAACTTTGAGTGTGTGGAACTTAAGGGCACAAGCCAGAGAAGAGCAATTTATGCGTGTTGGCTGTGCTTTTGTTATCCAGTGTCTGCTAAAATCATGTTACACAGCAGCATGCTGCTGAGAGATGCACGCTGCTTCCTGTTTGATCGATCATGACATAGGTTTACAAGCATGCTCACACGGTGTTAAATCACCCAAATTAAGCCTCAAGAATGAAAATAATGTTTGACTTTTCTTCCTGAGAATCTGTGAATAATATTTGTCAATCCAAAAGCTCCCAAAGGCACCTCTGGAATGTGAGCTCTGGATGTCTTTTTGGTTTTTGTTGGCAGGTTGATCAAAACCATCAGTCCCGTCAGGTGGTTAGACCAAGAGAAAGACGAATCTAATTCAGACCATGCACAGACTTTTATTTATTTAAAATGTTTTTAATTTTTTTTGGACACATAATAATTGTAGGTATTTATGAGGTACACTGCAACATTTCGATACATGTGTACAATGTGTAATGATCAGATTGGGATAATTTGTATATCCTTTACCTAGACATTTATCATTTCTTTGTGTTGGAAACATTCAAAATCTTCTCTACTAGCTATTTTGAAATATACAATTAATTTTTGCCACTCGTTACCCTACTATGCTACAGAACAGTAGAAGCTATTGTTCCTCCCCTGTCGCACCTCTGTGCCCATCAACCATCCTTTCTCCATCCTCCTTCCCACACCTTTTCCAAGCACTGTTAACACTGTTTTATTCTGTACTTTAAAAATTTTTTTTTTGTGTGTTGATGGTCCTTTATTTATTTTACATGGTGCTGAGCATTGAATCCAGTGCCTCATACATGCCAGGCAAGTGCGCTACTGCTGAGCCCCAGCCCCAGCCCTGTACATTTTTTTTTTGGGACAACTAGAACATGTAATATTTGTCTCTGTGCCTAATTTATTTCCCTTACATAATTTCCTCAAGTTCCATCTATGTTGCTACAAGTGACAGAATTTCATTCCTTTTTATGGTTGTATAGTACTCCATTGTGTATATATTCCAATTTTTCTTTATCCATTCATCTGTTGGTGGGTATCTAGGTGGTCTCCCACCTTGGGTATTGTGAATTTTGCAGCAGTAAACATGGGAGCACGCAAAAACTTTTAAAACAAAGATCTTGTTTCCTCTTGTCTTATTTTGTACTATAAGTTGATTTAAGTTGAGTTCCTGTGGGGTTTTTTGGTCAGAGCTAGAATGTGGAATATGTTTCGTGACAGGATAGATGATGAAAGCTTAATTTCCATTTCAGCAAGATGAGCTTTAGAGATTAAGGAACTGAGGACGTGAGTGCATGTGATGTAAACGTCATTTTCTCAACACTGTGGTCACACAGACATGAGAGGGGCAAGAAGCTGGTGCTCAGTTTCTCAGTCCTAGCTCTCATGGTCTGTGTCCTCCTTTTCAAGGAGGAAGAGCCTTGCAAGTCTCATCTCACCTTTTCAAGAAATTCAGGAGACCTGGGCTTAACTCCTGGCCCACTTTGGCTTTGGATGAGTTTTACTCGCAGCTTTTATTCCCCAAGGTACCTGGATATGGGGGGTAGTGTCACTGTCATGAGTGTTATTTTATTTTTGAGATTTATTTCTCTTAAAAATAATAAAAGTGGGATTGTAAATGTTAATTATAAAAAGGTGGTGGATCTTCAGCATTGAGAATGACTTAGGTGGATCATTGGGCGCTGAGAGCCTCAGCTGGCCGTTTTCTGAAGTGGAGGTAAGGCTTGCCCTGCCCATCTTTCCCGTGGAATACTGTGGACCTGAGTGGACGTGACTCCTCAGCTGCAGTGGGGAAAGCACAGGCTTGGTGAAGGGCTTGTGAGGATTAAGTCGGATACACGGGTAAAGCATTTGGTGAATGGTAGGGCAGAACGCAGCCGTGAACACACCACTGATTGCTTATGTAATCCCACTCATGGCTTAAGCCTCCTGCCTGGCCAACTGTCTTTACTCACTGTTGAGTGGGAATATTTCGTCGTGCTCCATCTTTATACCCCAGACCTCACTGCGCATTGCGGGCACATGTTCTCTGTGTGCTTCCTGAAATTGTTTCCGCCTCTTCTTCTCTGCCTGTCCCGGTCTGTTGTTTCCTCAACATTTCTATCTTCTTTCCTCAGCCAGGGCCCAGTGGCAAGTGTCTGTCTTCTCCTTCTATAGTTTCCTGTTCTGTCATTTTCCTCTTGGAACGTTTGGTTATCTTCTCGTGCAGGTGCCTCAGTGCTTCCTGGAATGTAAGTCTCCTGGGCTTAGCACGGGGATGCACAACTCACAGGTATTAATAATTGTTGATTTTTCACACCCACGAGACATGCTTTAGTCTGAAAAGGCCAGCAAACCTGAACCTTCTTTTCCTTGAGTGTGTATAACCATTCAAGCAGTAAAGCTGAATAGTTATAGACCGTCACAACAGAAAAGAGCCTTGAGGAGTTACTTCTTATTGCATGTAATAGGTGCTGTGTATACTTTATATCCTTTCTTTTTCATAACAATGTTTAAAGGATGCTAAGTATGGCTACCCATATATTATGGGCAAGAAATTTAAGGCAGACATTAAATCACTTGCCCAAGGTCACTCACTCATCTTGAAGTAGTAGAAGGGCTTTACTTTGTCTTCAAAACCTATGTTGCCCTATTTTTTTCTGCTTCTTAAGGGTAAGAATTTTGAAAGAGGCAATATTAAGTTTAAAAAAAAAATCACGAAGCAGCTGTCCTTTCAGTGCAGAAACAGCCAAGGCATGGTCCCCAAGCAGCAAGTATTAGATGGTCATCGTCTGATGCCAGATGTGTTGTGTTAGCTGTTTGTTGCTGTGACCAAAACACCTGACAAGAACAAATTAGGAGAGGAAAGATTTATTTGGCTCATGGTTTCAGAGGTTAATCTACTGTCTTCTGGTTCCAAGGCAGAAAAGTGGTGGTGAAGGGCCTGGCAGAGGAACGCTGCTCAGCACAGCAGCCAGGAAGCGGGCAGGGGCCAGGGACAGATTCAGTCCCCAAGGCCATGCCCTCTATGATCTACTTCCTCCAGCCATTCCCCACCTGCCTGCATGTGTCTCCAGCAATCCATTCAAATGGGTTACTGCATCAAATGGATTAATCCACTGATGGGATCAGGTCGCTCATGATCCGGACTTTCCCCCTCTGAGCACTGCTGCATTGCCTGGCACATGAGCTTTTGGGGGACATTCCAGATCCTAATCATAACACCAGTGTCTTTCTAGAATACCAGAAGAGGAGAGAGGGAAGGGCTTAATCCTCAAATTCATGGGAAAAAAAGAAACATACAGAATGCAGTAAACCAGTTTGAATAACCTTGTGGCAAGTGAGTGGCCTTGGGGCCAGATGGGAGCTCAAATCTCAGCTCCTCACCCTTTCCAACTGTGGGGTCTTCCTTATCCATCCTCTCTGTGCCTCTGTTTTTGCATTTGTAAAGTAGGAGGGTGATAATAGAACCTATCCCTTAGGGTAGTTGTGAAAAATAGGAGAGATAATACACATGAAGACCTAGAACCATGTGTGGCACTTAAGGGCTAGAACCATGTGTGGCACGTAAGGGCTCTGAAAATATTGATTGTGCTTGTTACTAGTTGAGGCTGAGGAAAGTATTGCTCAGAGAACTTCAGAAATTCCTCCTTGCTTGGCCACATCCAGCAGTTGATGGCCCAAATCAGTCATAGAAACCTGATGGTTATGTGATTGTTTCTTTCCTAACTCCATGGAGGGCTGGGGGTGTGGCTCAGTGGCAGAGCACTTCCTAGCTAGCGCACAAGGCCCTGGGTTTATCCTCAGTGTAAATAAGTAAATAAACAAATTGATTACTTTAAAAATGCTTCTAGTCCATGGAGGACCCAAATAGTTCCTGCACATTAGTGTCTGGTGATGTGTCCACTGGAGACAGATTTAGGGTCAGGTCTTACCCTATAATCACAGTAACCGTTCTTTTTCAAACTAAGATATGAGCTTAAGACACTAAGGGGTTTTGTTATTAAAAGTAAGTAGCAGCATCCTCTGTTTTTCCTTTAAGAATTCAGAACAAATTGGCTTCTAAGAAGGCAGGGTCTGCAACAAAGTGCCAAGTCCCTCATACTATTCTCTGAAAGACCTAGTTAGCTCCAGAGAGGGATGAGTTCATGAAGGTTTTACATTTGCCAATTGTCAGTTTAATAAAGTTGGGCTTGCCAGCTTTTAGAAAAGTGCTCCAGTTGTTATCTGGGTAGAGCATGGGCCTAGAGGCCCCAGTTTGGCTGGCGAAGTATTGGGGAGCATCAAGGAGGATTTCCCTGATGAGATATAAAAAGGCTGAAGGAGCAGAATTGGAAGGGGAATTTCAGCCTGCTTCTGACCTCAGCACTCTAACCAGCCGTGGATGATAGCTCATTTCCTTCCCTGCTGGAAAATGGGGATGAGAGACCCACGGTGGCCACTCAACCTATTGGCATTTAGCTGTGTACTGGGGAAATGGCAGTTAGTCTTCCATCAACTTGTTTTTGTGTATCTTCTCATACCTGTTTGTTCTCTTCACAAGGCCCATAAAATTATACCCTGCTGGTCACAAGTTTATATTAAACTCTGTGGCTTGGGACATGGAGCATAGCAGAGAAAAGCCCCGGAGGGATGATTTCCCCACCCTTTATTCCTGTGAAGCCTTTACATCTGTCCTCAGTCCCATTCCCCAGAAT